CAGATGAATGTCCATTTTGTATCTGTCTATTCAAAATGGTTAGGATAGATATATAGTTACATTCTCTTAATGAATAGAGGGATTTGTTGTAATAGTGTTTGTAAATAGGATATCATGTCTGCACCTTGTATAGCAAATAACCATTAGGAAGAATGTATGCAATGTGTTAATTATTGAAACTGTCCTACCAATTTGCTTTTTTTTTCTTTTTTTATTAATTTTTTATTAATTTTAATGAGAAAAAATAAGAATAAAACAGTTTCAAAAGAAGTTAGTAGGACAGTTACAATAATTAATACATTGCATATTTTGTCTTTGTAGTAGTTATTCAGAGGACAAGATGCAGACATGACATCTTGTCTAGACAATATTAGTACAGACCTTTCTTCTCATTGAACTAATAGAAGGTAGCTGTTTATCTATCCTAACCATTTTGTATATATGCATATGTACTTTTTTCACTACAAAATGGTCCTTCATTTATGTCCCCCATTTTTGTTTTGTTTTGTCAGAGATGGGTGTTCCGTTGGTGTTAGAGAAGCTGTATTTGGAGAACTCTTTAAAGGACCTTTTCATTCTTGCCAGTTCAACTATTGTAGGTACTTGAATTCAGCAAAATAGCCCAATATAGCACAATAGTCCATCACAGTAGTGGGTTGTCAGCAGAACTGGCAAATGTCCAAAGCTGTTGACTTGAGCCTTTTACAGCTCAGCCTTCTAAGGCTCAGCATATTAATATGGCATTACTTTCTATACCTTGTGGTTATACTTTTCTGCTGAATATCTCCTTTAGATATAATTTATCTTGAGATAAATTGGCATGCTAGTTGGATGTAATTGTGGCATGGCTAGAAAAATTGAATATTTTCTAGTTGACTCATTGTATTACTGTTTGTATAAATGTATTGCTATCTCTTTTCATAACCCTTGACTTTAGGATGGTTAGGATGGTGTTGATCAATTTTTCCTTCGTCTTCCCCACCTTCAAGGAAAACAGTTGTTCCAGATCAGAGACACATCTTTTTAAATTTGGTCGGTTACAGTAAACTGCTAACAGTTTGCCTACATGTGCTCTAGTGCTCTGAGCTCTTTCTGGTGGTATGAAAGAGTTTCCTAATCCGGTTTTCATTTGTCTTCTTGGTGTCCTGATATAACAACAGTGCTTCACTGCTGTGCTGACTCCTTCAAGATTATCTGATTACGTGTCAAACTGCTCCTTAGATGTCACCTGTCAATTTGGGCTGTGAACACTGAAGACCTCCTTCCTTTTGGGCTCCAGGCAAAGCCAAGTGCTTTACACACCTCAGAAACATCTATCATAATCAGGGGCTGGGGAGATGGCTCCGTGGAATAAGTGCTTCCCTGGCAAGTGCAAGGGCCTGAGGTCAATCCCTGGTTCTGCCAAAAAAAAAAGCCCAAACTATTAGAGTCATTTCAAGTTATTTTATGCTTGCTTCTTAATTACTTTAATCTCCTCACTACATATGAGTGGTTTGAAAGCAGTATTTGGGGGTTCTTTTTTTTCTTCTTACTGTAAATACTTAACATTTATGAAAGTTTGTTGATTATAGTGGTTGTGAATTTTGACAGATGTTAAATGTTTTGTTTTAGAAATAAGGATTATCATAATTTTACATAAATAATATTTAGAAGACTGATTTAAATATTGACTATGTTTTTCAGCATTCAGCTTGGAAACATGCAGAATTATGATCGCCATGTTGGATGTATCCTTGAATAAAAATAGATGCTAGGATGTAGAGTTAGTACTCCAAATGTTGAGCCAGTTGCTAGTTATAAGTGATTATAAATTAATAAGTAAAAAGTTGAGAAATACCATGTAAAATCCTGTTTGAAGTCTCCATGCTTACATTTTACATGGAAATATATTCATCTGGTGAAATAAGCTGTTCTGCAGAAGCACATTTTTCAGTCATTAATTTGGAGTTTGGGGTCAGGTAAATCCTCTAAGGTACCTGAACTTATTTTTTTTAATAAAATTATCAGAAGGATTATACAGGAAAAATGGGATTTAGTGAATTCAAGGAGCTTTGGGCAGCCATTAATGCCTGGAAGCACAACTTCCTGACTGTTGATCAAGACCGAAGTGGTTCAGTAGAGCATCATGAATTGAGTCAAGCCATTGCTACTATGGGTAAGAAATCTACATTTTTACAGGCTCTCCATGGGTCACCTTTGTTCTGTGGTCAGTGTCAAACTGCTCCTTAGATGTCCTTAGATGTCACCTGTCAATTTGGGCTGTAAACACTGAAGACCTCCTTCCTTTTGGGCTCCAGGCAAAGCCAAGTGCTTTACACACCTCAGAAACATCTATCATAGTCAGGGGCTGGGGAGATGGCTCTGTGGAATAAGTGCTTCCCTGACAAGTGCAAGGGCCTGAGGTCAATCCCTGGTTCTGCCAAAAAAAAAAAAAAAAAACCCAAACTATTAGAGTCATTTCTAATAGTTTCATTGCTTCAGTTTTCTAAGTAGTAAAGGTTATATATATTATTATTTTTACCAGCACTTTCTTTAGTTTAGGTTCAAGTGTATAGGTAGATTCTGAATAAAGACCTTTACAGAATTACTTTTAAAAAGATGAATGTGTGTCTCTATTCTGAATTTCTTCTTAAGCATATTTTAATTTATATTAAATGTGGCTTATGTCCATCAATTACAAACCTCTATATTAGCTGCTAGCATGTAATTGGTAGTATAAAGTATTGGCTTTACTGCCTTTATTTTGTTATATAGTACACACACTAAGTACGAGGATATTGCATTTTTGAATATTTTAAAATAATTTGAATTTATTTTCACTGTATATTTGATAAGTTAACCTTCTTAGTCTAATATCTAAAATGATAGTTACAGTAATGTGTTAGTTGCTTACAGTTAATGTAGATTTTAAAAGCCTCATTAATTATTTTTGACCTTGCAAGTTTATTCTTATTTGTAAACAAAACATGAGTATGAAATTGTTTTAGAAACTAAAATTGAACTTATTGCATATAGAATTATCTCAAATTACTACTTGAAATACTCAAGCTAAAGATTGTTTTCTTTCATTTCATAAGCATATATTTGAATTTAGTATCTGGAGGTTGTCCTGGCCATACAAATATGTATAGTTCAATTTTAGTACCTTAATATTTAATGGTCTATACTTAATCTTTAATTCAGCATAATGTTGGGAAATTAATATAGTCTTTAGAAGAAAGAAATCTAAAAAAATCACATAAGAAGTTAGGGAAAAAAAAGAAGTTAGGGAAGTATTCTAAATTTTTAAAAATTTGTTGGGCAGGGGAGATAGCTCAGTGGAATAAGCACTTGTCTGACAAGTGCAGGGGCCTGAGTTCAATCCCTAGCTCTGCCAAAAAAAAATTGTCATCTTCAGATATAGTATTAAAATTGTTATTAAATTAAATTATTAAAATTATTTTGCTGAGGGTACTGCAGGAAAATTTTAGGCATGTTTTTATTACCATGTCTAGATTGTAGCTCTAATAGGAAACTGAAAATGCATTTTGAGATATTATATATTTTTACTTAGCTCAGTTTATAGTTATACTTCACTTTTAGCAATTTTCCTGTGTAGCACTTTATAACACTTAGCAATATGCACATCTTACTAAGTACATCCTATAAATGTAACAAGTAGGATGCATTAATTCTTATTTCCATTTGTATGTATCTTATTCTTTTCAAATTTCTATTTTTATGTCTATTTTAAAACATAAGTTTTCAAGCAGTAATGTATGCATAGAATTTAAGCCTAACTTAAATGCACAACTAGAAATCCTTGATCAGAAACATGTTGAAGGTAGGAGTTTACAATCAAAAGATTTTAGAAGTCAACTGTTAAGATAGCTCCGTGGTCTAAGTGCTTGTCTGGCAAGCACAAGGACACAGGTTTGATCCCCAGTACCACCATGCCATGCTGGCCCTGGGCCCCAGGCGCCACGTCTGCCACCGATATTGGGCGTGGAGGTGCCTGCTTGTAATCCCAGCACTGGGGAGGCTGAGACAGGAGGATCCTTATGAGTCTGAGCTGCATAGTAAACCCCGTACCAAATAAATAAATAAATAAAAGATTTAAAAAAAAAAAACAAAATAATATTTGAAACACCCATTGCAATATAAGGTATTTCTTTTCCTCACTTGACTTTATTACGAAGCTAGAATTGTGTTATTGATGAAATGATTAATAATGAAAGTTTAATTTGATAAGTCAATGTACTTTATCTCTAAAGTATATTTTTGTGGGATGAATTTTGGAAGTTAACTTATTTATTGACCTCACTACTTGAAAAGTTAACTTGCAATATTTTTATGGTATTTTGATTAGAAGATTTATTTTATGAATTTTTTTTCCTTAGGTTATAGATTGAGTCCTCAGACATTAAATGCTATTGTTAAACGTTACAGCAAGAATGGCAGGATTTTCTTTGATGATTATGTTGCTTGTTGTGTGAAGCTTCGAGCACTGACAGGTACTGACTTCTAAAATGAGTTTAGCATGATACACCTGTTTATACTGTCTCTTGTTTCCTGTAGAAAATATATCATAATGTATTGTTCCTTTTATTCATTATTAAACATAGTTAGCTTTAAGGCTTTAAAATTTAAGAATAGAGGGAAAATTGTGATATACGAGTGGTAGAGGTTTTTCATCATAACCCAGGTGCCTAGACATTAAATGCCTTAATATTCCATCAGTTTTGAAAGATGGTTTTGTAAAGTCTATCAGTCTGGATTGAAGACTGTTTTCCTTTAGGGCTTAAGGTACCTCACTCAACTCTGTCCTTGAGTTGAGGGCTTGTGTTGAGAAGTCCGCTGTGATTCTGATGGGGTTTTCTTTATAGATTATGTTTCTTTTCTTAAGTCACTTTTATTATTTTGTTTTTGTGCTGAATTTCTAGAATCTTGATTTTTGTATGCCTTGATGTAGCTTTATTTTAGGCATAGCTATTTGGGGTTCTCTATACTTCATTTATTGGTATGTCAAATTCTCAGTATAGAGATTCCTTAAATTAGAGGCCCTATTCAACCCAACTATTCTCCTTCTGGGTATCTCTCCAGATGAATTGAAGACATCTTACACAGCAATATTACACAGCAATAAAGACATCTTACACAGTACTCATGTTTATGTGAGCACAATTTGTAATACCTAAATCTCAAAAACAACCCACATGCCCATCAACTGAGGAAAAGATAAAAAGAGATATACTTTTTAGAAAATATAGTGGCGTACTACTCACCCATAAAGAAGGACAAATTAGAGACAAATTACTTTATAGGTAAATGGACCAACTAGAGACCATACTCAAAATGAAATAAATAAGACCCACCTGTGAAAGCATTGTATTGTCTCCCTTGTGTAAGAAACGGAAAGAGTAAATGTGATCCTCAAAGTGTACAGTAGGTTTTGTGAATTGGAAAGAAGTTGTTCAAAAGAAAGGGCAAACTGAGATGAAGGAAAGGAAGGGAGAGAAAAATACAAATATATTTATATACAAGATAATTAAGACATTCATACTGCTAGTTTGCCCTAGTTCATTGAAAAGAACCGTTTGTGCTAAGATTGCTTGGGTATCTTGTACTCTGAATAACTACTATGAAGAGAACACTGCACAATGTACTAATTATTGTAAGTCTCCTAGCCTGCTTTGAAACTGCTTTCTTGCTATTTTTTTCTCTTTGAAAATCTCTTAATATTTAATTGAATATGAATGTCTTCAGATTCTGTATTTGGAGAAACTAAGTATTTGAATTTATAAATTACAAATCCTAGCTTTAAAATGTTATTTCTTGGTTGAAAGAATTCTTTAGGAGAAGAGACCACTTGCAACAAGGATGCGTGAATTTCATGTATGAAGATGTGAGTATCTTATTCAACATTTTAATATTCACATGTGTTCTGAAAATGAGCTGTGCCTAGGTATCAGAAAGTTCAGTGATACGGCATATGGTATGTATATATGTATGTATGTGTGTGTTTATATATGCTATAGCCAAGACTGTCACAATGCACTACAAGATCTAGCCCTTTTTAAATTTTTTATTTTGAGTCTGGGTACTTAATTAGTATGGTTTCCCAAGCTGGGTTTGAATTTATAATCTTCCTACTGCAGCATGCTAGAATACTAAGGTTATAGGCAGAAACTTTGGAAGAAATGAGTTATTTTATAGATCATATTCTTTTCTCTGTGTTTTCAGCTGAACTCTAATTTAAGATTGAAAATCAGTCTAAATACCAATTTTACTTTGTTTTATATAAAAAAGCCTCTTATATTCTATGATATTTTGGAGTTTGCCTTCCAAGTCATTTTAAAGGACAAAAGTTACCATTATTTTTATACAGAGTAGCTTACTTACAGTGATCTGTATTTCCTAGCAAGGTATTTTAATGTGTAACAAATTAGAGAAAATGTTAACTTCTCATTTCAAATGGTTACTAGTAACATGGTCCCAGTTTTCTTTTTAATTGATACTATGGGAAGTAATATTTTATATCTGTTTTAAAGTTTCAGGGTTCTTAATTTGTTTTTATTTGTTTGTTTGTTTGATTGATTGATTGATTTTTGCGGAACCGGGGATTGAACTCAGGCCCATGAGCTTGCCAGGGAGGCACTTATTCTACTGAGCCATCTCCCCGGCCCTGTTGTTTTTATTGATGATAGTTAGAATCAGAAGTAGCTGACAAATAAATTACAAACCCTAAGTCACTTGAAGTTTTCTTTTTATGACAAAAAGCTCAAATGGAATATAATCAGCCACAATTACAGAACATCTTATTATTGCCAGATGATAACTTTGTTTATGTTTTAGTTTTTACAGGGCACTATGACAATATGATTGCTGAGTGTTTGAAAGGTGAAGAAAGAAATACTGTGAATCTTTTGCTTGAAAGAAATGAACGGGACCACCTTAAAGTGTAACTCTTATAATGTTTCTGGCTAATAAATTCTAACTCTTTTCTGTGTGTTTTTATTTTAACACACAATTCAAAGCAGTAAGTGTTATGTTTTCCCATTTGTGATATTACTGCTTTTGGAAAAATTATAACTATCAATATCTTAATACTGTTGTAAAATACTGATGTAGAATTCAATTAGGTAAATACTTCTCAGGTTTAAGTTTTAACAATAAAAGCCTAGACTAAGACAAATAGGCTAACAGGATAGATTGTATACGAAGCCAAAAAGATAAAAGTCTAGATAAAACTTATTTATACTTATCTCAAAATTACATACTATAATTTTGAATTTTGTTTGTCCTGTGGATATTTGAAGCTGAGCTAGAAAGGAAAGTGTGGGTTGTGTGCCAGCTTTGTATCAGGCATTGTTCTTTGATCACATAGTTAGAGGCTGTAGCCTTGTGAGTCTTTGTGAATAAGCAAATTGTAAAAACCTACCTGAATTTGAATTAGTATTGAAGTAAGAGTATAGGAATTACTGCTTTTGCTTTACTGGTTTTTGCAGTGCATATTTCTCTTCAATATATTTGATTGTTTTCTGAGAAAAAAAGATTTTAGACATAGCTGTTTTCTCTGTACTCTATTAGTGAAGATACAGATAACCTGAAATGGCATCTTTCTCTAAATATAGATTTTGTTTAAGGAAATGATACATATTTTTAGTTAAGTGTCAACATCTACCTGTTCTGTTTAATCAGGTTTATATAACATTTTAAAAATGCAAATAATATACCATTCTATTTAAATGTTCAGAAATGACAAATTTGGCTTACTTAACTATATCAGTTAGGTGTTTTATATTTGTAAACTGATCCATGTTTTGATTCAATTGTGTAAAACAGACAGTTTAGCTCTACAGGCTCCAGGCAACATGTCTGCGTAGATTGACTACAGGAATCATGAGGGAGAAAGAGGTGCCAAGCCTCTATGTAATTTGTTCTTATCTAGTTTGTTTTGGGCAAACAACACCCTATTTTGTTTTTATTTTTATTTTTATTTATTTATTTATTTTTGCAGAACCGGGGATTGAACTCAGACCCTTGCGCTTGTCAGGCAAGTGCTTATTCTACTGAGCCATCTCCCCAGCCCCAACACCCTATTTTCCTTTGATGAATATTTAATAAACTATGTTTTATTGTTACTCTTTTTTTTTTTTGGCAGTACCAGGGATTGAACTCAGGACCTTGCACTTGCCAGGCAAGCACTTATTCTACTGAGCTATCTCCCTGGCCCCCTATTCTTACTCTTGAACTGAGTAACATCCAGCCTGAATGAAAATATAAATTGATGTAATTTTAATCTGGCTGGTAAGCAGAAGGATATATCAATTTTTTAAAACTCTGTCTTAAAAGATGGCACATTCATGTTATTTTCAGAAAAAAGAACTCCTCTGAACATAAAATATTTTACGTCAGCTTTTACTTATTTTTTAAAATCTTGGAAAGGAAATAGGGTATAATCATTCTGACACTGATTTTGTTTTAATAATTTATATTGTGCTACCAATTTCACTTGGTGAATTTTATATGAATGAGCCGATAAACAGTTCATCTCTCTGTCCCCTTCTTAGTGTGTTTTCATGGACATGTGAGAAGACATTAACTGAGCCATCTAAAATATAGAATTAAAAGTAGAAATAAGGAAAAAGCAACTACGTAATGAGAATACACTACATAACCTTTGTGTTAAGTAATGTCGATACAATCGATGTGCTTAACAGCTGATAGATTTCCAACTTACTGTAATATTGTGAGGTCAGTTGTGATAACCTTCTTTATTTGAATGATCGTAGTTGAAGTAAAACTAAATATGATGGTATTCATAAAAGTGTCTACCAAGTGACCCTTTGTGTTGGAAATCTTTACATAATCCCAAATTTATTATTTCTTAAATGTTTTCTTTTGAGCTTTGATGTCAAGAGCTCTGTGAAGAAGCTTCCATGGCCAAACATAGTTGGAAAGTCTCATCTCTCGCACGGAGCTTTGTAGCATGTTAGCTTGTGAAGCCTAAGTACAGTCTTGTCTCATTGTATTTGCCCAAGTTTATTCCAAACTTTTTGGTCATAGAAGTCTTTTTTCTAGCAGGCTGTTCTGAATTCACTGAATTTCATGGCCAACATTGTTGTGCACTTGAATTAAGTGAATAGTTTTATAAACACATTAGGCATTGAGAATATTTTACCAGGCTTTTATACTAAAATGCAGTTTATTTTTTGATGTTTTTAAAATGATTAACATAGGCAGATAACTTATTAAGGTGAAGATTAAATAGTTTTATGATGAACATGGCTGCAACATGGATATGGTTGGTAGTTTCTACTTGTTAACTCACATCCCAATTTTTTAATGATGTAAATTATTAATAATGTACACTCTCAATGTATAAGTGCTTTTATTTATATAGTAAACATGTTTCCATGTCATTTTGAGAATTTTAAATAAACATTCAATAGCTTGCTGTAAAGTTTTACATAGTACAAAATTCATTACATATATGATATTATGAGCTGCTTCAGGTCCAACAGTAGTGCATTGATTCACCTCCTGGAAGACTGCCAAAGAACTGATTGTCACTGTACTGCACTTCTGTTTTGAGTGGCAGAGTACATATTTTAAGTTACATCAAGGGGAAGTCACTGTTACGAGAATATTAATTTGGCCCACTTTAAATGTAATTTCAAGAACTGTGCTTCTTTGATCCATGTAAGCACACATCCAGGACAAAAAGAAAGTACAAAAGAAAGTAGTGATGTTATATATTTATTTCCAGAAGAAAAATTTACCCTGGAAGAAAGTAGAGTTTTTTCCTGCGTGAAACTCTGCAATTTAAAAAAATAACAGAAAACTCAATTTGAGATTGTTTCTTTAATTACACAAACCAAGTTCACTTGAAGCCTTATGACAGTACTAAACTGCCCAATCAAAATAAATAGTTTTTGCTTAAAATGTGCTTTTCTTTGTGCTTTCATGTTTGAAAAATTCATAAGTGACATGTTTTTCATATTTCTTTCTAACTTTTCTAGGGAAATTGATAGGAATTAATTTATTAAATTCTGGTAACTTAAGTCTGTTGATTAAAATGCAAGACTTTTTTTATATTCTTTCCTTAATTTTAGAATACAACTATGGTTGTTTTACTATTTGGAAACTTTCATTTAAAAAATCTTATTTTGTCTCCACTTTAATCACTGAATAGTGAATGAATAACTTTCAAAAATCAGTGTCTAATGCTCATGTATCATCTATAAGCATACCTAGGTTTATATGTAATATTAGATGATATAAATAAAAATTTCTAGAACTCCTGTTAGTGATGAATGTAGAAAAGATATTAAATTAATATTTTTAGATGCTTTGTGATAGAGTAACATTAAAACATCACATGCAAATATAAAATTTAAGATTTCTTGTAATTTAGAATACTTAGCATAAAACTGTTTTCCAGCAGAACACTGAAAAACTTAGGAACAATTTCTGTTTCACTGTCAGTTCATTATCTAAATGCTAGACAGTCTGTGCTTTTGTTTCCTGCCGTGTCTCTTTCAACTTGTTTTTCAACATTTTGTTATATAAAGAAAGGGCCTCGTATATTTAATATTCCTTTTTCCCAGGTAGCTTGGTAATATGCTGTTTTGTGTTTTTATCTTGCAAGTGTTCAAAGTTCACCTTTGCCTCTGTGTCTCGGAGTGTAAGATCAGGAGACATCGGAACTCACTGTGAATTTTCATGCGGTTGCAAAGTGAATAAGGGCTTTTTATGTGCTAGGTATGTTTTCGGGTGTGTCCACTCTGTGACATCAAGAGAAGGTGACGCTTTGGAAAGATTATGGGTGTGAAGAAGAACTGGGCTAGGCACTTAATAAACTACTTTTCTGAGATGTGCCTTCCATGAGTGTTCAGCTTTTGATCCCGATACACTGTTGGGCAGACTTCAGCTTTACCCTTCAGAATATGAATACGCCCAGGTACAGGCACACGGACGCTCGATTCTGGTTGGCGATGACCTACTCATGATTGTCACGATTACGGAAATTTCAAAGGATATTCTGGATAGTGCTAGTATGAATGTTTCGGAAACACATCTAAAGCATATTCTTTTCAAAACTGTAGGTCACTTGAAAATGATTGTAGGATTTGCTAAGCTTTTAAGAGCATATTTATTTTTTCTCCCAACTATCTAAATGCAGAATCCTCAAATTAATTTCATTCCAGGAAATAGTTTATTTGCTGAGTAGTTTAAAAATATTTAACGTTTTTATGCTTAGATTCTCATTTCCTCATGAAGCTCACTTATAAAAGCTGATGGAATATTTTATGTTATCTGTATTTAGTTTCTTTTTGTTCTCATTTATCGTATAGGGAAATGTTCTGTGGTGGCATTTATTTTGTTTTTATTTATTTATTTATTTTCCTTGTGGCTGGCTCAATCCACCCTGTAGTCGGTGCTGGTATGGCATGCAGTGCCGGGAATTGAACCACGGTCCCTGCACTTGCCTAAGCAGGCACTTTAGACTGCTGAGCTATCTCGCCGGCTTTTTTAAGTATTAAAAAATAAAATGTGGATAATTTTTAATTTCTAAACAAGTTAAACAGTCTTTAGCTTAATATATGCTATGCTTCATAAACACCAACCCATTTAAAAGGTTTTTTTTTTTTTAAGATTATTCGATTTTTTTTCCTCAAATGATAGAGAAGCAACTGAGGAAGAAATTAAGAACATATGAAATCTAAAAAATATTATTTGCATACATTCATCCTGACTATGAAAAAGTTATTTTATACGTAAGATAAGGCCTGTTTAGGGTCAAAATTTTACATAATGATAAATATGTTAGCCAGTTACTCCTGTGGTCTTGAGGGGCAGTAGCTGAAGTGCTGTTATAGTTCTCTCATTTTGGATTAGACACTTCGCACCACACAACCTAGCTTACTAGTGTCCTAATGGAGCTCAGCAAGATTGTAGCACTGTTACAAGTAACATGATTTTGTAAAGTTCATCAGC